CAAAACAGTGCTTATTAGACTATTAAGCATGACAGACCATTGCGCGGGCATCCATTAATTGTTGTTTGTCCTCAGATTACGCCATTGTTCCTTCGAATGATCATTATTTTGAAAAAAAAATATTTTGTAGTTTTCCCAGCATCTATTCACATTTTAAAACTTTGGAAAAATAAAGATCTGATTTGGTAATTTTTAGACACCGACTTTCCTTGTGATATTTTTAAATTAGCCTCCTTTGGCTACCAGCTTGGTCATCTTTTAAAAAACTATCGTGCACCAGCATGTAATTTTAATGGTAACCATGCCGAATGCACATCATAGCGATATTTAAATATTCTAATTCTTCAACCAGTTCAATCCTAACACCTTAATTAGTTTAAAGTAATACATTAACCAGCGTCTAGATGTTTCCCAAGGCTTAATCTGCGCGGAAATACTTTGATTTCAATTTTAGCATTTTTCAGGAGACATCCGCGATATTGTCAAAGTTCCTTAGGTATTGAAAAGAGTTAACACAATTAATTTCTTAGTTAAAATTTTTTTCCTTATGTATTGAATAACTTAATTTTGTTAATAATTTAAAGTCTGCCCGGCAGCCATTAAATCACACAAACCGTCGTAAGTATGACTTCGGAACATTTCAGCATAGTATAGGCATAAAAAGTATTAAAATTATTTCCATCTCTGTCTTAGAAAATTCATCCCAACGCTCCATTACGTGCTGCACTACTTCCTCACGCATTGCTAGAGCCATAACACGAGTAAAAAAAAACATCAAGCGAGATAACGTAAACACGAACTACTAGTAAAAAAGCGTTATCTTTGCACGTTTTTTTGTTTCCAGATAAAATTTTAATTCTTTCAAAACTAACTATTGCTTGAAAATATGTGTTATGGCTTACATTCGCATTTGTTTCAGAATTTTTATGCTTTCAAACTATTGATCAGTCGTGGGTTTATCCTCCACTATTTTTTACACATCTTCTAGGTTTTCATCCCTATCATCGGAGGATTAAATCAGATATTAAGAGAATAATGGGATGAGAGTTACAGTCGGTATATGCGTCATCGACTTTGAAAGATCTTCAGACATGCAATTTTATTCCGAAGGACCAATATTTCCATTGCATATCGAGATGTAATTAATCCCGATAAGTTTTATTAAACATATTTGTAATGAACTTTAGTCGACACTGTAGAAATTAAATTCAGAGCTCCCAGGACATTTTTTTTTCTTTCGAAGCATCTTGCAGGTCACCGGAATCAGGAAAAGGAACCAGTTGTTCAATGTAACGTCTTTCAAATGATTGGATTATTCCGAGATTCAAAGGCTGAAGTTTGTTGGAAAACATTCCACTCGCAAATTTAGCAATTTAAGCTCTCATACTTCATTTAACCACCCTTCTCGAGCATTGCTCATCCCTCACCGTGCTTTGCCATTTGATCTTTGTTCCGATCTGATTTTGATTCAAGGAGGAAATCTCTGACTGACGAAAAAGCAATAAGATAGAATAGAAAGAGTGTTAGAAAAGCTACAAACAGCTAATAAACAAATCTCTTTCTTTTTCTTTTTTTAAAAAAGGAAGACGAAGAAAACTCAGAAAAAATTTGTGCGAGCTTTATAGGAAAAAAAAGATTTTGATCTTCTAGAAAGACAAGTAAGGAGTGAAGCGATGTTTTTTTCTAAAAGGGTAGTGTAAAATCTGGAATAATTTAAAATTATCAGTACAGGTGATTTTCTGGGACCAGCGGAAAATTACGCAGGAAGCAGAATAACATACCAGAATGACAACGTAAACCATGGTTTCACTGTCTATATTATTATTCGAAATAGCCAAGCTCTGTCACCAATAATTGTCATGGTTGTATTCGTCACCATTGCACTATTTTTGTTTAAAATTTCTACAACCATTTTAGAAAAGAATTTCTACAACCATTTCAAAATGTAAAGAAACCATGGAAAAAATTACAGAACAATGAAAAAAGGGGGAAAAGGAAAATAATAATAAAAATATCAAGAAACTGGGGGGAAAAATCCGAAAAAAAGGAAAAAATGAATAAAAATCCGGAAAATAAAAGATATAATCTTTCATCAGCTCACACGATTATATCCGCAAAAAGGAGTGCTTTCTAATATAGTATCAATAAAGCTATCACTATCAAAAAATTAGCTACATATTTCCCTCCCCCCGTCTCTTGTTATTTTAATAATTATTTTTCTTTCCCTCCCCCCTTCTTCTTTCATTGTTCTGTAATTTTTTCCATGTTTTATCTACATTTTGAACTACATATATATTATATCAGAGGTCGCCAAAGTGGTCTATATAGACCCCAGGGGTCTATTTAACAAACGCGGGGGTCGATCTGAACCAAAGGATCGAATGGGGGTCGATCCGAATCGGAAAATCACACATACCTCATTGAGTATATAAAATTTGTGAATTTTTTTAATTGACTTAAAATCAGTTTCTTTATAAAACATAAATTAATAAACGTATCGGGTGAAACAAGTATTTACGTACCAGCGCGCTGTGACACGAACTCAGCACAGTTTATAAGTCAGATGCATATGTGCGCTTGTCCAAATGTCACGTGTGACGAGCATTGACGTTACAAGCGCAAACGTCATGGGCAGTTTCAGCTATCTTTGCAAACTGTAAACAGTGTTGAATATTTGCAGTGTCATTCATAAAGCTTCTATAGTTTTGGATAATTAGTTATTGTTTCCATTAAAACCATTCGTTTAGTTTAGATATCAATTTTAATTATCAATGCATGTAAAAAAAGAAGGTAAGAATTAATAATATGGATTAGGACAACCAGCGACAAAAGTATAGCACACTTTGTATTTTTTTACGAAAATTAAAATTGACCAATTTTGAACTGAATATAGCGAACTTTGCAAAAAACACCAGGCACATCCATCTCATTGATTAAGAAGCAATAAATCTGTAGTTACTTTACTTATTATTTCTACTTATTCATAATAATTATTATTTAATAAATATTAAGGTATATAAATTTCAACATTAATATATTTTTCATAAAACTATTGTTACACAATGTACTATTACTTTAATAAATGTTTAAAATCATAAAAGAAACAGTATCTAATAAAGTTTTATTTTAATTAACAATAAATTACTTTTATGGGGGTCGCTGGAGATTTCGAAAAATTATGTANATATATATATATATATATACTAATTCTATTCTTCTATTATATATTTCTAATTCTTTTCTTCTGTTCAATATTTGTAAGTCTTTTCTTGGAGTAATAATTAATCCAGTAACAATAATAGGTAATGATAACTACTTACTACTAAAAAATAATCTTCTATTAATTATTAAATATAACTAACTAACTATTACTACTACGCATAACTAACAATTCTAACACTAGTTCAATTATTACTTGAGACGAACTAACGAAAAGAGTATTAACTATAATATTGCCAATCGATAGAGAAATACCCGAGTTTATGGCGTCATGTAAGAGAAATACATATATACATTAAAGTTACACGTTGTAGCAAGTAGAACAAAGAAGCTAAAATCTGAATAATTCTGATATTAAAGCATTGATTACCATGTTTCTAAAAGCAAAACAAAACGAGAATTCGACTTATTTATAGGTCTAATTATTAGTAACTCATTACAACAAAATTTTTTTGCACAAAGTTAAAACGCTTTCTCAAAACTCAAGAATAATTTAGTTCTTTTTAGAGGAGATTTAAAAACTTTTCTTTCCCAGGATATCAAATACGAAACGTAAAGTGAACAAATTAATGAAACTTTTACCTAGCAATTTGTTAACATCAAAATAGCTCCCGTTCTTATACTTGGGAAGCGTGTAAAATTAATGAAATTGCTAAAGGGTATGTTTTTAAATACAGCACTCTCAGCGCTCGGATTCGTTTACCCACTTTATCATGACGATGAGTTAACATCATTTTTATTTATCTTTCGGCGTAATAAATTAAATGGATTTGGGCGTGAAGAAACTGCTTATTAACAGAGTTGAGAGGCGATACTTTTCTGTTATAATTAACGAAATGAACTCAATAGTGTTCGCAAAGAAGAAGCATTTTTATGCGAACAAGTGATCCTTTTAACTTATTGCAACTTTTCTAGAGATACTTATTAGTTAAAAAAAGAATCGTTTCATTACTTTAATAAATAAAAGAAGCGAAGTGTTAATAGCTATTAGACCATTCCTTAAAATTTATACATTGCATGTTATAAAGTTATTAAAGTTTTAGTATGCGAAAAACAAGTTAAGGAACTTTGTTTCGTTATAAAATAAATATATCAAACATAGGGAGGATACAATCCTCTCTTACATAGAGTAATTTTATCGATTGTGGACTTTTTTGTCTTCTTCGCAAGACCTAAGAATCCTAGTGAAGTGAAATCTGTTTGTTGGTTCTTTAGGGTAACTCGTAAAGGGAAAATATAAATGTCTTATTTTTGCCAATTTCGTACTTGATCATTGAGAACAACTTAAAGAAGTGATCAAAATACAGAGGTGGTGGTCAACTTAGCAAGTTTATTGTATTTCCTCATTCCTATACGAATTCACTGGACAATTGTAGATAGGTTAATGAAATTATGGTAGATAAGTTAACATTAGAGGTATATTATTACATTATAAGTTAACATTAGAGATTATTAGAGATAAATTCACAGCATGGAAAAATCAAACCTCATAACCTGTACTAATTCTCAATGAATAAAGCTCTCGTTTCTGACAAAAACTTCTCAGATTAAATTTTCGCTGATTATTAGTCAACTTGTGCAGTGTTTCTGAATTTGTTTCTAAATATAGGCATTTTATATAAATCTTATGCATAAGTTGACCATTTGTGAGTGAAAACAGTTTGATGCTTTTTTAAGATGACTCATAAAGAGGAAATTTAATAATATATACAAGGCCTGTCTAAAAAGTATTCGACCTTTGGCCAGAAAAAATATTTCAAATATCTGTCGGAGTTGCGACCCTAATCCTCTTCAAAGTAGATCCCTTGTGCTTCCACACACCTAGCCCACCGATCCTTCCACTGCTGGAAACACCTTTGGAAGTCTTCTTTTGGAATGGTGTTCTGCTCCATCGTCGCGTTCCGCATTATCTCTTCTTTACTCTCAAAACGGGATCCTTTCAGTGACGTCTTCAATTTTGGAAACAACCAGAAGTAGCTAGGAGCCAGGTCTGAAGAGTAGGTAGGTTGGCGAATGGTTGTAATTCCATGTTTGGTTAAGAAAGTGTGGGTCAGTTGGGATGAATGTTGCATGATGCAAGTGCCAGTTGTTCGCCGTTCACAAGTCTGATCTTTTGCGCCGAACTGCCTCATGGAGTCGCCGGAGAACATCTTGATAGTACTCCTTTGTCACTGTTTGTCCTTAATGTGCGTATTCGCGATGCACAATTCCACGGACATCAAAGAAAACAGTCAAAATCACCTTGATTTTGCTTCGCACCTGCCGCGCTTTCTTCGGCTTTGGAGAATCGGGATGCTTCCATTGCGACGACTGTCTTTTTGTTTCTAGGTCGTACCCGAACACCCATGACTCATCTCCAGTTTTCACGGTATTCAGAAACCCAGGATCAGTGTTGGCGGTGTCCAGAAGGTCCTGTGCAACGTCAAAACGGAGGTCTTTTTGTTCCGGGGACAACAACTTGGGTACGAATTTCGCAGCTACTCAGTTCATGTTCAAATCTTCACACAAAATTGCTTGAGCAGAATCTCTACTCACTCCAACCTCTTCTGCAATCTCCCGCACTGTCAAACGACGATCTGCCATCACCAAATTTCACAACCTCTCAACATTAACTGCACTCTGAGCAGTTTGAGGCCTGCCACAACGTTGCTCACTCTCCGCTGATGTGCGGCCATCTTTGAATCGGTTGAACCACTCCTTAATTTGTGTTACACCCATCGCTTCTTCTCCAAACACCTGCTGAATCTTACGAATTGTTTGGCTTTGAGAATCACCAAGCTTTTGACAGAATTTAATGCAATATCTTTTCTCAATTTGTTCAGTCATCTTACGAGAAAACTAAATCCGACGAACACTACGAACAGCACCTTACCCGGCGACCACCAGCCAGTGACTGGCACAACCGAGCGCAGTGAAAAAATTCAAGCATGTGCATTAAGGTTCCTCCTTCCACCGTGCACGATGGTGCCGCCTTAGAATCCTTACTTTGCGCGAGAAAAATTAAGGTCGGATACTTTTTAGACAAGCCTCGTATATATATATTGCGAAGTACTTTACAAAGGCTAGTTTGTACCGATGTTTGAAGCAGGCGTTCCCTTTGTCTTCTGAGNAATTAATTATTAATTATTATAAATTAATTAATTATAAATTAATTATTTAAAAAATTAATTAATTTAAATATTAAGTATAATTTATAGGATATATACTTTCTTTATAATGCCATTACATATTTCTATTAATATAAAAAGTTTCAGAGCTTTTTATTCACTTTACTTTTTTGGGATTTTATGAACTGAAAAATGACAGTTTTCGTGAGAATGACCCATATATATATATCATTTCATAAGTTTATATGATATATATAATTTCTTTATCAAGTATGAACAATTTACGTATCATACATCATTGAATAATTTCCATATAGTTTCCTTGCGCGCATAAAAGTTATTTGAATGTGACCGGAAATACTTTTTATATTCCGTTACAAACCTGACAAATATTCACTCCCTTAAATACACTTATTTTTTTTTATTTCTTATTTATTATCAAACCGTTGTCATTCTAATGATGCGAATATTTAGAAAAATACATCCTTCCTACCCTACAAACATCTTGTCATATTTTGTGGTACTAATCCTAGCCTTCCGCAACACGAGTCATCTTTCAACTCTAAGGGTCACTTAATCCTTCTCTTATTATGCAGGACCACGACAAAATGATATGATTAGAAATGAAGGGTACTTATAAGTTTAATTGAGGAGATGGCTTGGTCGAACATCGCCATAGACCTCAATTAAGATGGATAGACAATGGTAGAGAGAGAGAGAGAATGCATTTATGCGGTATGTAAAGCCCACTGCATCATTAATTTAAAGGAATAGAGGACCTGAAATGACAAGAAGTGTAATTTGATATTACATTCGTATTATTTGCATGGAAAATGGTTGAGACAATGCTTAACTATTCGTTTTAAAACATTTATTCTTGTAATTATTTGGTCATTTATTCTGAGTATTTTTTTATGGTAGATATTATCTCAGCAAAGACATAAAATTAAATTTGCAAATTCTTTTTTCAATAAAAAAGACCGAATTTGTTGTATGGTGGGTATTGAAAAAAAATCATATAAATTAAACTCAATAAATGGAACTTAATAAATAGATTTTGTAAACAAAATGGAAGCAAATTTAACGAAAAAAAAAATATTTGTAAGTCAAGATTGTTTTAACAAGATAATTTTAAAACAAGATTATCTTCTGTTAAGAAACCAATATCCTTGGAATTTATAGAAACTGTATATTTCTTATCCTTAGAAAGGTGCCTTAATATTTCAAAATGATGTAACCTGTAAAAAAAATTCTACTTTTAACTGATACTTTTGATACTTTTTTCCGTAAAATCCGTTTTTACAGGAACATGTTACGAAACAAGAAGAAAATCCTGTAATTTTTTGGTTTTCCCTTAGAGCCAGAAACATAGTAAGTTTTACCTCATTCTGATCATTTTAATTTTTTTTTGCAGCATATAACATCTTAATATAATATACAGGGTGTTTTATAATGACTGCCCTTAATCTATAATTTTAGATTCCTTGTTAAAATCAAATAAAAAAGCACACATCCTACAAGAGTCACAAATTAAAATTATTAAAATTTACTTTATTAAAATAGTATACACTCTAACGAAATCGGACGAATGACAACTCAGAATTGAAAATATTAAAACCCGCTTGTTTGATGATTGAAATCGAGAGAATTTTGATAGACAATATATTCAATTGTTTCTTATATTATCATCCCACCTTTATTAGTCGAAGCAATTCAAAAATATTTTTGTTTCTCACTCGCATGAATAGCACTTCTCACTTATCATAGAACGAATGAATAGAGGCAGTAAAAAAGTTAAATCTAAAGAGTGTATCGTAATTTCTTTAATTACATATAAATCAATTTATAACAACGCCTGCACTAATTGCTTAGCATATTTAATGTAAGAGCCTTGAACCATTAAGAGAGTTCTACACTGTAAAAGATGTCCCAAAACTAAGCAAAAAAATCGAAATACACTCTATAACAAAAAAATCGACCAACCAAGAAGGAGTTGTCCGATTGAAACGAAAATTGATGGATAGGAAGACAATGTACAAAATAGTAAATGATTAAAATTTCAGAACAATTGAATAATTTATTGCACAGTTACAGTAATAAGTTCAATGAGGTGTTGACCCTCCTCTACCCTGGATGCAAGCAGCCACACGGCGTGGCATAGACCGATAAAGCTCCCGGATGGTCTCTTGCGATATTTACTGCCAAATTCTATCCAATTGTCGGATGAGGTCATCAACATTCCGTGCCAGATGCAATCGCTTTCACATCATATCCTAGACATGCTCGATGGGAGAGAGATCTGATGATCTGGTAGGCCAAGGAAGAGTTTGACAAGCTTGCAGACAGTTCATAGCAACACGTGCCGTATGTGGTCTGGCATTGTCCTGCTGAAAAATCAGCTCAGGGAGCTGCAAAAGGAATGGTAGCAAAACAGGTCTTAGGATGTCGTCGACGTACCGCTGTGCAGTAAGTGTATCTCCAATGACGACCAAAGGGGCCCGGCTGTCAAAGGAAATGGCACCCCAGACCATAATGCCTTGTTGAGGGCCGGTGTGGCGTGCAATAGTGAAAGCAGGATCCCCCCTCTGCCCTGTGCGTCTCCAAACACGTCGTCGATGATCGTCAGGACACAGTTGGAAGCGGGATTCGTCGCTAAAGACTATACGTCCCCAGTCGGCATCATTCCAGCCATATCTGTTCAAAACATTCACGCATACGAAATTTCAAAGCAATCGGATGATTGTTTCTTGGTGCGTCGATTTTTTTGTTATAGAGTGTAGCTCCGAAACAAATATATCCAAATTTGAAAACCCCATGCCTTAATTATTGAGTGTAGTGGCATACCTAAAATACTCAATAATGAATACATGGTTAGTAACATTTGCTCAGTAATGAATATACGGGGTTTTTCAAATTCGACTATATTTATTTCAGATCTATTTAGAGACGTTTTTGCTTGATTTTGAGAAAGCATTTTTACAGTGTAGTGCATAAAAATCCGTTCATTACATCAAAAGTTATTCGGAGTGTTCATTTTTTTCTTTCGCGCACTTTGTATACTAATAATTTATGTAAAAATTAAATAAAGTTTTTTTTTAAAAAATGTTTATCGCATTGCTGACTACTTTCAAATCTTTAAACTGACAATTGTGTATTCTGGCACTTAAATAACGAGATTCAATATTGTCAATATCATTATCAGTTAAATCGTAGTTTAATAAATACTATATAGACTCGTGCTAAAAGATGTATGATGTATGAAAGGAAATCATAATTCTTTTAATACTTTCAGAAATATTATTTTCCTCAACTTATTCTTGAAATTTAATTTTGATATCAATCGTCCGTCTGCCCTATTCCTTTTATTTTATAACCTGGTATGAGCTTTTAATAAAGCGCTGTAATGAAATGCAATGCATTATTACGTTTCCCACTATCACTTATAATCTCTTTTTGTTAATGTTTCAAATATTAAGAAAACGCTGGTACATATACTTGTCTTATAAAAAGATTGTTAGAAGTTTTGTTTCTTATTTTTATTCTTCAAGGGAAAGGAAATCTAAATCACTCTCATCAGGTATTTTGATCAAATCAAATACACGACTGCTAGAAGTGGAATATATTAATAATTGAAGAACGATTTCAGACACTGATTCAAGTTGTAGAAAAAATATTTTTAATCAAGAAGTTTAATATACATGCCGTCGGGGACATAAATGATGTATTTAAATAAAATGGCAATTTCGAAGTTGTACGTAAACTTTTTATTAATTTTCTGCACATAATATTGAATTAATATTCTTGGGGTATTGATGAGTCAATAAGTACTCGTAAGTATTAGTATAAAAAATTCCAATAAATAAGAAGTTATTTACACATTTGTAAAAGCTTCAAATGTACCGCCCTTACAAGAGCATACATTAATTTAAAATATTTTAGCTACAAGTATTTTGACTAAATAAGATATTCTAACAACAAAAAAATTATCAAGATGAAATTAAGCTATAAGTAATTCATGCATTTTGGAAAGCTTCTAGTATGAC